TTCGAACTCTTAGAGCAAGAACTAGTTACGTAATGGGGGTCGTGCATGTGGTCGTACCGTGTCAAAAGGCTAACATACGTGTAACGTATGACGCATGGTCTCTTTGTGTGTATCATTGATAATGAGATCCCATTAATCTTTTATATAGGGATAAGTATGATTAATGAACGAACAAAATACAAACCAAATACAAACAATATTACTAAATAATTTCTAGTCTAGAATGCCCCCACAATATAAGAGGGAGATTGATGGTTGCTCAAGATGGACGGGAGAGTCTGAAATAAATATCTAGGCAAACCCTTCATAAAGATATCCACATACTGCAAAGAAGAATTTGCAAGTTTACTAATTCAAACATTGAGAATCAAAGATGACTAAAATAATTGAATTTATGTTAGATATTAGTAGTTGATTATTTAAGTCTGTTATATAGTTGATTATTTAAGTCTGTTATATAAAGTATATAACTTTAGAAATCTAAATTTCTGTAAACTATTAGGATCATTAATTGTATTACATTTCCATTTGCATTGAATGGGGTAAAACCAAATGTAAGAAAATAACTTCACATAGCATATTCTCTCATTTCCTTGCAATTTTATGTGAGCCAAATATACCCTTAAACTGCAGGGGCTGGGCTTCTTAACTATCTCTGCTGTCATTCCTTTTGGGCCTTCTGACTGTCAAGATGCTGCGAAGTTAGGTGCCTGTTCTCCTCCTATGTTCCAAGTTATCTTCTTCTTCTTTTCTCTATATATGGTGGCACTAGCACAAGGTGGACACAAGCCTTGTGTTCAAGCTTTCGGGGCTGACCAGTTTGACAGTCAAGACCCGCAAGAGTGTAAAGCCAAAAGCTCTTTCTTCAACTGGTGGTATTTTGGGATGTGCTTTGGTGTTATGGCTACACTATGGATTTTGAATTACATTCAGGACAACCTAAGTTGGGTTCTTGGGTTTGGAATCCCTTGTATCATTATGGGTGTTGCTCTTGTTGTCTTCCTGTTTGGAACTGATACTTATCGTTTCCGTCAAGACAATGATGAGAAAGATCCTTTTGTGAAAATTGGCCGTGTGTTTGTCAATGCATATAGGAATCGCAAGACCAAATTTACATCAATATCATTGGAACAAGAGAACCAGGGAATTCTACCTTGTGAAGGCTCTCAGCAGCTCAAGTAAGTAAAAACTTATGGTTTGTTTGGTAACGTTACATGTTTTCCTTTTCTGTTTCAAAAATGTTGTTTTTGTTTGTTTTATTTTCAAATTCTTGATGTACTGCACTGTGTTTGATAGGTTTGTTTTTTATTCTCCTTCCGTCTCAAAATGAACTTTACACTTCTCCATGTCACTTTTAGGAATATAATATATGGCTCATAACGTTTGTCTCTTCTAATTAATTTTCTTCTTTACAATTTACACTTTTCTGTTGATTGTATGTTCATCAAAGGTTCCTTAACAAGGCACTGCTGGCTCCTGATGGTTCAAAGGAGGATGGAACAGTGTGTAGCATCAGCGAGGTTGATGAAGCTAAGGTCATTCTCAGACTTGCTCCAATATGGGTGGCGTGTTTAGTTTATGCCGTTGTGTTTTCACAATCATCCACCTTATTCACAAAGCAAGGAGCTACAATGAACAGATCCATTGGATCAAATCTTAAAGTGCCTGCTGCTACACTGCAAACCTTTATTAGCCTTTCTGTTGTCATCTTTATTCCCATATATGACTGCCTTTTTGTTCCAATAATGAGAGCTGTGACTGGGAAGCCCTCTGGAATAACAATGCTTCAAAGAATAGGAACTGGAATATTTTTATCTGTCCTCTCAATGGCGGTTGCGGCCGTAGTTGAGAAGAAACGTCTTCAAACTGCTTTGGACTTTGGATTGTTTGACAAGCCCAAGGCAACTGTTCCCATGAGCGTGTGGTGGCTGATACCTCAGTATGTGCTGTTTGGCATTTCTGATGTATTCACCATGGTTGGGTTGCAAGAGTTTTTCTATGATCAGGTGCCCAAGGAACTGAAAAGCATAGGTCTTTCTTTGTACCTCAGTATATTTGGCATTGGCAGCTTCTTAAGCAGTTTTCTCATCTCAATCGTTGAACAAGCCACTCGTAAAGACAGAGAAATTAGTTGGTTTTCAGACAACTTGAACAAGGCACATCTCGACTATTTCTATTGGCTTCTTGCCGGACTTTCTGCATTTTCATTTTTTGCTTACCTATACGTTTCAAGATCATATATCTACAATAGAGCCAGTGCCATATAACAGGAGTGTAGACCCTTCATTGAATTGCTTCTTGCCGGCTTGAAAATGTACTTTTTTGGCCAATGAATCTTTGTACCCATATTTGTTTATTTACAGCTTTATCTTATAGTATCTACTGAATTGAGTAATACTCTGTAATAGGAAAAATAACAATGTGAAAGTTACTTTTATGCTAAAATGATACTTTGTATAAATAAAGAGAAACAACATTTGTTTCGAGCTTTAGTGAAAGGGAAAACTTATGTTTCAACAAGGATATATTTCCTCTTGGAGAGTTACCCATACAGGTAGGTTCCTGAAGCAAGATTTGGAGTCTCTTGATTGGGAGCGAAGACATCATCTGTGGTTGTTCAAGGTCACATGCCCGTACTTGTTTTTTCCACGGGAAATAATGTTACTCCCTCCGTCTAAAACATTCCTCCCTTTTGTGTTTAAGAAGTTTGATAGACTTTATTTTCAATTTAATTTATACGGAGTATTAATATATTTAAAAACTATATCATAAGTTCTACAAAACAAGAGTTGATAAAATTATATTATTTTATCAAATAACCAATGAAAATAAGCAAAAAAAGTGATTAAAGTTTGATTGTGTAAATAGTAACTGAGAAGAACATTTTAGGACGATAGTAAAATGACCCTTAAGTGTTTAGGCAGAATTAATAAAATGAGTATGTGTCGTGTATGTACAATAATGCACTGCTATAGCTCTTCTGCACGACAATATTTTTCAAGGTCACACAATCACTATAGATCGTGTCTCCAAAAGAACGATACTAAAACGGCCACAATATATACGATATCGTGTAAGAAAAATAAGCCTCTCATGTCACAAATCACAAGAGTTTTAAAGTCTTCAATAAGACATGTCAAAACCACATTACAATGGTGCTACATCAGCAAAAACCAAGTAGATCTCCACAAATGTTAGTACGAGACAGAAAAATGGTTTTGTTTTGTTTATGACCCTAGCCTTCTCTACTCTCTAGTTTCAATATTCTTCTGAAAAAAGAATCCCACAATCACTCATACCTTCCAATATAACTTCAGGCCCAAACTCAATCCATTGGAGAATAAGGGTCTCTCCCAGCACAAGACTAAAGTCAAACACACGAGCCTCAATGTCCCCACGGTTCCCTCCAACATTGAAAAATGTCCCAATTTCCCATTCCAAGCGCCCGTCCTCTCTCCAAACAGGAGCACAAACTTTCCGTGAAGCTCTGTTTTTAGCCACAGTTAAATAATCCTCATTGTCAACGAATCTACACACTCCTCTCACTCGGCTTAGAGAGTAGTCGAACCCATCCTCGGAACTTGCTTTGAACACTATATAGGAGGAGTAGTGCGTTTCTTCAGACAGCATTTCGCTGCTGATTCTCCCAATAATATTAATCATCTCCCCCCGATCCTATCAGCATAGGGAAAAAAATTTCATTAGAGCATCTCCAACCTTGTTTATTATATTGGCTTGCTATTTTTATATTTTAACAAGTGAATAATGACATAGCAAGTCATATTTTGTTGCATTCTCCAACCATGGCTTGATAATCCATTTTACAACTCTTGGCTTCCTATAATTTGAAGAGCTTGTTATATTTAGCAAGTCAAAATCATTTTTTGGCAAACTTGCTAAAATTAAACACACCCATTGGAGAAGAAAAAATAGGTTGACTTGCTATATTAAACACACCCATTGGATTTCCTCTGTCCGATATCTTTCTTTGCATTGTACAAAATGAACAAAAATTTCAAACTTTTTCAATCTATTTTATTGAAATATTGGTATAAAAATAAAAATGAAACCTATAAATTTAAAAAATACATCAAAAGTTCAACAAACCAAAGTGGTGACAAATATATTTTATTTTATAATATAGACCATGAAAAAAAGCAAACAAAAAAGGTTTCCATGAAGTTGGAAAAGAACACTGCGAAGAAAGATATGGGACGAAGGGAGTATCAATTTTACAACTTTTGATTTTTTCAATTGTATGTGATGGTGTAAATTACCACGCAAATGCTAAGTATAAATAATCGGAAGGGTTGTAGGTGGAAACACCTGTAACCCGGCTTGTTATTAATGATAATAGAGACTATTACAACAGTTCAGGCCGTGTGGATTAATTAAAGCATGCCTCACAAATGAGGCTTTTAAGGGTATTTATAACATCCCTAAGCACGTCAAGCACGTCTCTGATTATCCAACCGGTCAGCCGTCTGACCGGTTCCCTAGGCGCACTTCGAGAATAGAATCTGCAGTTCTGGAGCCCGGCCTACCCATCCAACCGGGCACACAACCTGGGTTGAAAAGGGCGCGCACTGTCACTTTCGTTACCACCCAGTCGGTCGAACCAACCGGGAGGTATCCATGGGTTATTTCCCATCAAGGAGTCCTCCGATTCCCAATCCTGTGGGAACCATCAGGGGCGGGAAGCATACGTGATCATCTCTTGAAATTTGAACAGCCCAGTCAATTTTTGGCGGGAAAATCATCTCAGCAAACCAGCGCCAACCCAAAATATTTGAATTTCGAATTTTTGAAAACCCGGCTGTCAAAGGCGGGAGAATCTTTTTTGAAATCGGGTACGGAGCCGCCGATTTGTCGTGCCGTTTTGTCTCCCCGAGAGGTTATGATTACGCATCATTGCCGTCGCCACGTGTTGTTCTGCCATTCGTCCGTCTGGGCGGCATCTCTCCTATATAAAGCGAGGTTCCCCCTTGAATTTTCTCACTTGCAAATCTCCAACTAAAAATCTGCCCGACTGCTTCTACTATTTCACGAGTCCTCCGAGTCCTCTTGTTCCAAGTAAGCTTCCTTCTCTCTCCTTTTTCTTGAGTCATGTCTGACCGCGAAGATAGCCAGAACCCTTCCATCCATTCTTACGCTTCTGGTGACCGGTCTCAGACCTCCGGTTCCTCAACATCTTCTTCTTATTCGTCTGAGCGCCCGACTACTTCCCCACCGAAGAAGCCGGTCGACGCTTCCACTTGTGCCCCTTCTTCTTCCGTTGCACAAGTGGTCTCAGTTGCCCAGCTTGGGGACGAGGGCTTCATTCAGCAGGACGACCGGTTGCTCCAAGAGCAACCGTCGTACATGCAGAAACCTCAAATCCACGAGCTGCGTAACCTGATGCCTGATGGGTACCAACTGACCTACCGGGCAACGTGGAAGAACTTTATTTCTCTCCACGTCAGTACGTCGATTGGTATCCATTACCATTCTCTCCAGGACTTGGGTGAATTCTCGATTCACCCATTCAAAGTCCTCTTCCTTGAGACATACGGAATCATGCCCGGGCAGCTGGCCCCAATTGGTCACCGTATGTTGAGCAGTTTCATCAATGTCTTCCGGCTCCTTCGTATCCATCTCTCCCTCCGTCTCTTCGATCATATGTTCGATGTCCGGCCCGGGTCCAAGGAAACCCTTGGATTCGTTGTTGTGTTGATGAGTCGTTTTTGGGTTAGTACTTTTTATTTAATTTTAGGCATTTTTAATATTTTTAGTCTTTAATTTTTAGTTGTTTAGCTTAGTTTTATTTTAATTCTTATTTTTTACAATCTTTTTATTTTCTTTAAAAAATAGTAGCTTTTAATCATTCTTTTTGCATTCTATTATTTATTTTATTTTTCCTAACCCAAATTATCAGATATCTTATTTTTTGGAGAAAATTGCAGCAAAAGGTCGAATTGAAGTTCTTTTGAAAAGAAGAGATTGATTTTGGGCCAAAGCCCAGAACAAACATAATTCAGCCCACCAATCATCCCACATTATCTTCACGCAAGAAGAAACGAACGGCATTTCTTCATGGCAGAGAGGACCGAGTAAAACCGGCGAAGCATTCAACGCTCCAACGTTCGGCTCCATCAATTGCGCGACAATCAATTGCCAACGGGAAGAAAAGCTTCGACTATAAATTGCACCCAGAATCATCAGCTCGAAAGGAGGGGGAACGAACCAGAGAGCTCCATTCTTCAATTTCTTCATCTTCTTCTTCTATAGGTACCCAAATAAATTGGCTTCCGGACTTAATCCGGAAGTCAACCCTTTAAATTTTCAATTCTTTTGTTGTTTCTATGTTCAAGTGTTGTTTTTTTTTCCAATTTATCACTTTTTTTTCATTACTTGTTCATGTAAAAAAATCTGGCAAAAGAATATAACGGTTGGTGTTCTTTTGGGTGTATGTTCTTGTTTTAAATGTTCATATATAATCCCTTATGAATGAGAATTGATTCTTTCTTATTTACTTCAATTATTGCACAAGTTGTTAAATTGGTTGAATTGTTTCAAATTCATAAGTAGGTTTTATGTAGAATTCGGTTTTTTTTGAAGCTATTTTAGCTCCATAAAATAGTTAAATAAACTCCGAATTCATACGTGTTTCTTTGTTGTGCTTGTGTTCGTTGATTTTAAGGATTTTGGACTTCTTAGCCCCATAAGTTGATTCATTTTCTTTAGAATTCGTTATAAAGTGATTTTGTTAGGTTATATGTTTGTTTTCCATTTTCTTTAAATTGAGATTGTTTAAGTGCAATAAACAATTCTTGATCTATTGAAAATACGTTGTGTTTTTCTATGTGAATAGAAAAAACGTCATTGGTTTGAGAAGTTCATGGAAATCTGTGAAATGTGCTCATCATTAGGAGAAAAGGTTTATTAAAATGCATAAGGTATTGGCGGTTTGTGAATAGATTATGCATGAGAGTTAGAATGAAAAAAAATTCGCTCTTTTATAAACTTTTTCTATAGTGGAAGTATGTTTTCATGCTTGATTGGTGAGTTGGGGTTCTAAGGTATATTTCAAAATGGGCCTTTGAATTGCATGACTCCGGGCCGTGTGGAGAGTTGACAATCCTCCATATCGTGGTTAAGGAAATGAAT